TACCAAATCAATTTACAACCGACAATAATAATTCCAAAAGTGATCGAACGATAATGTAAATATATAATTCTAATAAAAAAATTTTAGCTTCTGGCTTTTATTATTGGTTAAAAAATTCACAAATATTCCCAACCAGTTTTAAGCTAGTTTTCCCTACCAGCTTTTCCCCAGTAGTTCCCCACCAGGAAAAGCATTACATGACTAGTCGGAAACTAGTAGGGATTCCTAGCGAGGCCCTCGTTTCATTTGGGGAAAACTAGCTAGCGCCCTACTGATTCCCCATTTAAATTTCTACTAGGGCGGTAACCACTGCGCATAGTTTCAACCATCTGGTACCTACTGCGCCAGTTCAAATTCTCAATTTTGTTTTTTAAAAAATAAAGTTATTTGAAATTTCAACAAATTATGTTTGACCATTGATTTCTAGACGCCTGTTAATAAATAAACTCCCTTAAGTTGAAGGTAACCTGTATCTTCAAAACAAACATAATTCCTTAAATGTTTGTCCAAAAGAAGCCTTGTAAATTAAATTTACATAAATAGTAAAATTAAAAAAAAAAAACTAAGGTTAGGTTTAAACTTTAAAATATCTTTACACATAAAGCAATAACTTACCGTACCGTATTTATTTAAACTTGCCTTAATTTCACCAACCCATCGATCTTTTAGAGTTTATAATTCATTATTTTAATCATATAACAAACACAGGAATTAAATGTCAACAAATGTAAAATCAAGAAAAACGTCAAAATTCTTAGTAACCTGTAAACAAGGGGATTTTCCCTACATTTCCTTACAAGTTTATGGTGAGGAAAACTTGAGTCAGCCTAGACTGGAATTTAATGAGGAAAACTAAATGTGAACTAGTCAGTCAGAGTCGAGTCACAACTAGGCAAGTTTTACTGGTTAGTTCCTAGTCGGGGCCTATCTAGTATTTCCCTTTTTAGTTTTTCCCTATCTAAACCCAGCCAGCGCCCTACCAATATTGAGGAAAACTGGACAAATTTCTACTAGGGCGTCTATATTATAATATAGACGTCCTATAGGATAACAGATATACTCGTCTAAGAAAAAAGCGCTTAACCTAAATATAGTCATCTCCTAAAAACATAGAGGAGTGCGGGGTACATTGCTTAAGAAAGAATTCTTGTAAGAAATTCTACAAATATGAAAAGTCTTTTAATGAATTTCTTTTTTCATATTTTATTTTCAATAAAAGCCAAATAGTTTTATATAAAATAACAAAAATCCTTAAAAAATATAATAAAATAAAGTAGCAAAAATAAGTTCTATATATGTATTTAACAAAAACAAAAATTATATTCTATTTTTGGTATCCCTTTGGTTTCTTTTAAATATAAGTTACTTTAAATATATATTATTAATTATTTTTATTTTTATTATAATTATAACACTATAGGTTACCAGGCGTAACCAGTCTTGAGTAGCTTTTATTAAGTGTTATCCGTTAATTCAGCTGACGCGTTTATACCGCTGTTGATAAAATGTAGAAACACAGCATCTGAAAGGAACAAGGTTATATATATGTTATAGACAATTGTGTATTTCATACCTTCGAGAACTTCTGACGTTTTCGTAGATTTAAAGGCCCTCTTTTCGCGCTTAGTTAAATCTCTTGGCAACTTTATTGGCAAGCAAATATTTTAATCCATTCATGGAAGCTGATCTCAGGTTGCTACCTTCAATAGCAGCTAATCTGTTTTTCTGTTGATAAACGTACTTACAAGTGTGTTAATTATATCATCATCATTTATATAAGGTAATTAAAATAAATAAGAAAGTGGCTTACCACATACGCAAATTTGCTGGGATGCATTAGTTCCTCTTACAAATTGCTTGAAATCCGATCTTTGTTGAATTGGGAATGTTGGCAAACCAATAGGCCTAGTCAATTGCTTCACCTTGTTGTCTAAAAGATATCGAAGTATGTGGTCCAATTTGACAGTACTTACCTATTTTGATCCTGATGTCTACTCGAATGGAGGCATCTATTTTATGTGATAAAATGATGTATTAGAAGGATCCATTAAAAAATGTGTTTTTTTGACATCAACAGGAAATGCCCTTATTATTATATATATCATGTTATTATTGGAAAATTTCCCTTGATCTATTAAAAAACGTAATCATCTACTTCGGATCTACTATGGATCAATTATAGAGTAATCACTTTTCTTTTCTTAATAATAATAATAAATTGTTAATTTATTGCTAACAGTTACTATAATGAATACATGGACTTATAAAATAACTTTTTTCTAGAAAGATTGAGAATAAAAAGACTAAAATTCAGTAGAAAATGATATTAATATTAATTTAGCCCCATTAACTATGTAAAAAAAAATTATTATTGGTAACTGCTAACTGGTAGTGCAGATTGTATACCTAGATAGTAACTATAGAGCGATCAATTATAAATTTTGGTAGGTATCTGACATAATGAGGAAAAGGAGTTCATTAATTAAGCGTTAAAACCAAAATTCTTTCTCTAATTTAGGTACAATATATGTAATCAAATTATTATTGGAAAATTGTGCGGACATTAATAAAACGAGTACCTAATAAAACAATCATCTATTACGGATCTATTAGGGATCAATTATAGAGCAATATAGGTAGTACTAATACTAACTTAATTAAATAGGTGAATTTTCAATACATTAAAAAATATCTTTATTTTTAACGCAAAACCTAGGGAGATAGATTTTTATTAGAAAACCGTATGAATCATATCATATTAGGTATAGTTTATTTATTGGCAAAAGGTAAATATCTGCTCCATCTATTATAGATCAATTATAGATCCGTCATCCAAATTCAATAAAATGTTAATAATTATAAATGTAAACTTACCTAAAATTTTGTGGACATATGCACAGCACAAAAAGACAAAATTTATCACCACCAAATATAAAAATGTATCAAATTCACCAACTAAAACTGACATTTACATTGCAGCGAACTCAAAAGTAAGCACGCGAAGCCACAGTGAACAAAGGAATGAGATCGACCGTGCGCGCGCAGGCAAAGTAGCGCTAAAGTAAACATAACCTTAACTTTTTCTTCCTTTAAGAATTTTTAATATTTTTAATCCTTTTTAATAAAATTTTGCAAATATAGTAAAGTAAAAATAAATGTTATCTTTAATAAAATGAATTACGAGCAATGTTAATGGTGACAAATGCGTTAAAAATGTTTAATGGGGAATTCGATCGTTCCCAGCAAACATTTTTGATTTTTAATTTAATATTACCAGTTATTCATTCTATTAAATTTAACATTTATTTTTACTTTAAAATATAAAAATAACTTCAAAATATAAGTATCGAGATACCAGTAAACAGTTGGTTAAATCTATGCGCAGTAGTTCCTGGATTATTTTATAAATGCGCAGTTGTTCTAGGATGATTGTACTTATGCGCAATAGTTTTCGTATGATCGTATCCATGCGCAGTACTCTCTGGAAGATTGTATTTATGCGCATTAAATGAAACATGTCCAGCAAAAAATAAAAAATAAATGGTAAAAAAACATTTTTAAAGACAATCTTTTATTAAATGCTATAAAAAGAAGAAAATAAACTTTAACCCGTTAATGCCCTAGTTAATTTCTTTGTTTTTCTTTTGTTGCTATTTTGTTTTGAAAAGGAATATCAGTACCAAGACAGATAAATATAGTGGTCATCTTTTTTTTGTATCGTTTGACCGGCACATATTCTAAATGACAACAAATATAAAACGAAGTTTAAAATAAGCAACTGCCATATTTTTTACTATATCTTCTTGTCGTCTCTAGATTGTTTTTCTAAGGTATGCTACAGATGTCAAAAATAATAATTAACCAAATACCATTATATTAGCCTTTAAAAGTTTTATATCCTTTAGATGTATCATTAAGTGGCATTTATAAATGCTTTGGCAATACATGTATAAAACTAGTGAAAATCCTTAACATTTAAGAGACCTATCATTCTCAATGTCTAATACACGTCGAACAAGAGCTTCTACTTAAATTTAAACTGTATTATACATATTTTAGATGTCTTTGCAAAATCATCTAAAAACTATTTCATAAAATACTATCGAAATCAGATCCATTTGTATATCTAGATGTTATTTAGATTACTTATACCAGATTTAGACATCTATTAGATTACCTTGTGTTTCCTGGGTATTTATGAATATTCATATTGATTTATATACTTCAATCAATGTTGGAGTTGCAATTAAAGTCTGCCCTTTTAATGAAGGGAAATTTAGTTTAGAAATTACTTTTATCATTCATTGGTTACGCGGAATGAATTTGAAATTAGCTTAGAATCCAAACATTTGTTTGCGGTTTAGATCTTTTAATGAAAAATTTTGTTACTTTTAAACCAGGTTCCAACTCCTACATTTAAGACATTGATTTTTTAAACTTTAAGATTTTAAAAGTTTATTTTAGTTGCTTTTATAAGAAAGCTGTTGCTAAAACAATAAAAGTAAAGAAAAACATTGTTACAATTTTGTAAACACGAAACCCATATTTTTATATTATGTATTTGCAAAGCGTGACTCTAATAGAAAGATCTTAAAAAATAGATTCAAATAAAATTATTTACAGTCTGTAAACTTTGAAAACAGTGTATATTGCAGTCTGTAAAGTTTCAGTTTTAGATTGGAACTGTGTGAATTTTTCCATCACACGATTTTTGTGTTTTTTGAATGTAAATATAAAAAAAACAACCAAAGGATAAGGCTAATCTCTAAAGATTTTCTAAATATGTTTTTTATAAATGGTTTGGATTGTAAAAAATTGTTTTCTTGTTTCAGATATAATCGAAAATACTCCACCTAAGATGTTGTAACTGCCGCGGCATGCCGTGGATGCTGCCTCTACATTAAATCTTATGTTAGCTTAGATTAGTCCCATTTAATCACTCACATCTAGTTAACTAATCTGGTCATGTAGCTTACAATTAGATGCTAAAAAATGAAAAGATGATGTCATCCGCGGGATTCCTGGTTTTATTCTTAGTGCTATTAGTGACGTGTTCGGAAGCGGAACCCGCCACCGAGTTCGCGGAAGCATCGGACGGCGGCACGGCTCAACTTCCGTGCAACCTGATACCCGCCCATGCCTCGGACAAAGTCAGTGTCGTGCTGTGGTACAAAGGGGGGGACGAGGGGCCCATGTACAAGTACGATCTGAGGGGCACGCATCCCCAACACTGGGCCGATCCCGCATACGGTAACAGGTACTTTTTGAGGGTGCTGGACGAGCAGAAGGCAGTGCTCACCATTTCGCCCACCAAACAGACGGACGAGGCCACGTTTCATTGCAGGGTCGATTTTCAACAGTCGCCAACCAAAATTACGCACGTCAACTTGACTATTATAGGTAAGTTATTTACTTATTTAGGAAGTCGCTCTAGTAGTTTGGATAAAATGGTTTTTAAGAATAAAAAAATACACAAACACAAATCTGAGGGTGTTGGAATTTAGTAGAGAATAGAGATCATTTTCTATAGAAAGAAAAGTGGCAAATTTCAAAAAACCCTCCCTGGTGTTTAAATATTGTGATTTGGGGTTGGTAGATGAAGTAGTTGTAGTGATGTTACATTGGACTGTCGTCATCTTGGTTTTCTTGATTTTCACAACGTTTCGATTGGTTTTGTTTAAATAGGTGGTCGATCTTATTCATTGATCTGGATCTGTTTAATCTTGCGTAGGATTGGTTTTCACAGCGGTTTGATTTCTACGCTTGGTATGCTGAAAATATTTTTATTCTGGCTGATATTTTAAATATTTTACCATTATCACTTGAAGACGATTGGAGACAACCAATCGGATCGTTTTGAAAATCAAGAAAACCAAGATGACGACAGTCCAATGTAACATCAATTTAAATATTTTACTGCAATTAGAGACGCTTGGGGATCTTTTTAACTTGTACAGCAGTACAATTACTTAATAAAATTTAAATTCATTAAAATTTTCTTGGTTTCATGATTAATGCTCAACAAAGTTGCGGTATTTTTAACGTTATCTCGCGAGCGACAAATTCTGACAAGAAGGGGTCCACACTCTTAGAAAAGACCTGGTATTTGTAACTAACTTATTATCGTTGGGGTAAAAATGTTGCAGAAAATAAAATTTTTTGTTTTTTGTAATCAGTACCTTTATATGTGTAACTGCTTGCATCATTACCTGAAAAGATTTAGTTTTGTTGTTGAGTATTATTTACTGCAAAAAGGCGATTAAGTTATTTTAACTGAAACTTTGTGTTGGCTAGAAGTATTGACAACATTATCTCAAAAAAATCATTTCGGCGGTAAAATGTTTTTGTTGGACCAAATATTTAAGTAACATTCTCAACTGACTGAAATTAGTCCGTGGAACTAACGGTTCGGTTGTATAAACTATGCGTCACTTTTCACACAGCTAAGACACCAGCGGTGTGAAACAAAGTGTCAGTTGGGGATGTTGTCTCTGTAGGTTAATGCAACTGCAAACTTTGTGCCCGGCGCGTGCTTTACTTTTAACCTGTAAACAAACGGTGTTGCACGGCGTCCAGACTTCGGTGGTGTTTGTTCTTTTGTATTTGTGTATCAGCTGGTGTGTAGTGTATATTTTAGGTAAGAAACTAATAATAATAATAAATTTTCTTTATTGAAAAAATACATTTTTCAAAGGGCCATTGACTTTCGTCCTTCAGCCGGCTACATACTTTTTAACTATTCATATATATATAAGAATATATTCTTATGTGTTGGTTACTTATAGATATCTCGAACAAATAATATGGATGAGCGGACTGAAGTAGAAGATTTATTAGGAACATGGGGTTTACCTGAATTGGTTCCAGTTTTTAAAGGTTAGGTATTATTATTGCACTCCTTTAATTACACTATTGTATACAAAAAACTATAGTTTTGGGGTCTGAAAAAAAATCCAAAAATGTGAAAATGCCATTCCGACTGAAAATGGCCTCCTGAATCCAATGGTGCCCACCAAAAGTCTCCATCACGTCGGAATTTCGAGAATTTTTTTGTTTTGTTTTGTTTTGTTACAGCTCAAGTCGCATTTTTGGTATAGGGCCTATACTATAGGCACTCACACTCAAAATTTATCGAATGCTTACCCCTGTTATCATGCAAGTATGTTACGTTGTACCTAAGAATCATTGTTAAGTTGTTAAACAAAGGCTTGCACTTCACGTAAACATCACGGTTTACTGAAGAAGTATAGTCAACTTATATTTGGTGTTTTCAGTTATATTGTTATTTTCAGTTATATTGTTATTTTTTAATTTATAATAAATATTTATAAAACGAACGGGCATGAATTTCCTTTCTCTATTTTTTATAATATTTACACAAAAAGTGTTATATTTACTAAGCAGGTATGTACTGTGGAATAATACAAATTTGTTGTTGCTACTAATGCAAGCATTTAATATTAAATATAACTTAGTTACAGTAAAAAACAAATTTATATTATATCAACTATTAAATTCTTTAAATGTACCTTTTTTCATGTAATTTCAATTAAAAAATAAATTCCTGCATGGTACAATGTTTGTTGCGATAAATAGCAAGAGCAGTTGTTACAACTTAGACGCTGCTAAAATAACAGACTAATGTGATTGCATTAAATATCAATTATTTGTATGAAAAAAAAACTAATTTCGATGCACTTAAACTTGTTGGTTGGAGCTACCAATATTGGCTGTTCCGACAACAAACTGTAAAAACAAATTTGTATTAGTTCCCACAACATATTTTTTTGTTGTGCCTATTTTCACTAATAAAATTGGTTCTGGGAACTAAATTTTCATTGCAAATACCAGGTCTTTTTTAAGAGTGCAGAAAGCATGACAACGTCACGTGAGATTGACAATATTGTCTTCTTAATTAACGCATTCACTAAACACTTGCCTCTAAATTAAATTTCAGTGTAGCAATTTTCTAAATTCTTCTTAACTTGATTGTTATATGTTTTATAAAAATTGTTTTAGTGTAATAAGTGTCTTGCATATGGATATTAGGATACTATAAACTTCACAGTGTGAGGGTTAAGTGAGATTGTGTATTTAAATTGAAATAAAATTTAAAATTACATTTACAGTTGATTTATTTTTTATGAAAATGTCGATATTTCCACTACTATATAGAACAGAAGCATTTATAAAAATAATGCCAATAAATTTTATTACTTTTACCTCATTCTCTAATAAATTCTGGATCCCGAGCTTGTAAAAAATTCCCATTTCAAACAAAGCATAATACTTAATAATAATAATATCAAGGGGAAAATATAACTTACACAAACATCTAAAATTATAATATTATATAGGTATCTTTTAATATACCCAACGTAATAAATTGCAGTTTTAACTTATATTTAACCTGAAGTGTTTGTATCTTATTGATTAGCAAAAGTTGGAGGAAAATATTTCTAAGGTTCTTAATAAATTAAGTTTAATGTAAACCAAAGTGGCACGTCAGATTGGGAATTGTTAATCCCTAATTAAATCACTAAAGAAATTTCTAACTAAGTTAATGGAAGTTTGTTTCTATGGTTTGTGTGTAAACGGCAATTCGACGTAGCAAATGACGGGTGCTCGCCTGAAATTAAAACTTTTGCATTCCTGCTAATTTAATTAAATTCATTTGTTACTTGTCATTTTTTTGTCGAGCTAATGTAATTCTAAATTAGTTTTTTTTGCTTGTAGTTTAAAATGGGTATGCTTCAAATGTAATTCAATGTATACGTTTTCAATGTATTGAAAACATTTTTTATTTTGATTGAATTGTATTTAGCGGCTCAATTATAGATCGCATACGAATTAACGGCTAAGGATAACAATCACAAGGGTAGTCATGCGCAACGCGTCACTAAGAGAAATTTCTTATTGATAAGAATTTTCCTTATTGATAAGGAAAAATTATAAAACAACGTCCACATAACGTTGAACGTTGATCTTGCTGATTTTAAAGTGGTTTACCCTTCGTATTAATGTATCTTATTTGCTCAAAGTTTGATTTAAAGAGAACTGAAAAGCCTATAAAAGGCATTAACCCTGGAATGGTGGCGCCGAGTCTGACATTTTCATTTTTTTTAATGTGAATTTCAGTACCCACAAAAAAATGTATTGTTATAACATAACTAAAACAAAAAAAACGTATTTTCTGAAAAATTATAAAAAGAACTAAATTATTAAAAAAATTGCAGTGGTGCCACACATCCAGGACAATAAAATTATGCATGTAGAAGACACATATTTTGTACAAATTTTTAAGTACGTGTTTATATCGTAGAAAGGTTTTCCTTGTAAGTAACTAGTTTTCCATAATTGTAGTAGATTTACACAATAATAATAATAATAATAATTATTATATTATCATTATTTTTATTATTATATAATATAAATAATATTATTATTATGTTAATTAAGGAAGATACAAAGAAAGATTTATAATTTTATGTATAATGTATATACAGTGTGTCCGCGTAAGTTCTTTACAGACGGAAAACTTTTTTATTATTATTTTTTCGAAAAAAAGTTACTCCTTATAAAAAGCTGTGCTTCTTGAAAAAATATTATCAGACTATTAAAACTTAAAATAGTATGTACTTGTGGTCATAAAATGGAAAAATTGATACAGAAAGTACCCTTAATTTTTATTTTCGAGCAAAATAAAATAAGGAATTGTTGCTTGGACTTAAAATTTAAATAAAAGTCTAAATTCATAGCCTTCTAATAAAGAAATATTGATGTTTATAAAATCATTAATTAGAACTTACAAAGGAGGATATGTTAAGGCAAATGTGCAATGAGAGAAAAATCAGTGCCTTTGTATTTTTGTTTTAATTATTTACATGAAATGTTTGTTACTATAATAATTATTATAGTAACAAACAATCTTTGTATACAAAGATTGTTTTCCTTTAGGGCAAATACGTGATAAATGATTAAGAGCTTAAGTAGCATATTTAATGGTTAGGATTTATTAGTCAAAAATTTTATAATAAGAGACTATGGATTTAAACTTTCAATTTCAAGAAATATTTTTTTATTTCATTTTGCTCTAAAATAAATATTAATAGTACTTCTCTCACAAGTCAACATTTTTCTATTTTATGCCATTTTAAGTTTTAATATTCTAATATTATTTCTTGAGGAAGCAGAATTTTTTGGAGAAACTTTTTTAAATTAATAATAAAAAAGTTTCCCATATGTTCTGCTTCCTCAAGAAATAATATTAGAATATTAAAACTTAAAATGGCATAAAATAGAAAAATGTTGACTTGTGAGAAAAGTACTATTAATATTTATTTTAGAGCAAAATGAAATAAAAAAATATTGCTTGAAATTGAAAGTTTAAATCCATATAT